GAAGGAGACGACTTTCTTTTGAATATTGTGATGGGGGACGAGTCATGGGTGCATCGTTACGACCCGGAAGAGAAAAGACAGAGCACTGAATATCGACATCCGTCTTCTCCTCAGGTGAAAAAGTTCAAAACACAACCATCCGCCAAAAAACTTCTTTTGACTGTGTTTTGGGATGCTCACCGAGTTTATGTGACCAATTTTCTAGAACGAGGGGCAATGGTAAATTCTTCTCAGTACATACAGACTCTAAAACACTCCGGCATCGAGTTTGTCGTGTTAGAGGCAGCCTGGCGCCAATAATCTTGCAACATGACAACGCTCGTCCACACACCTCGCGCGCAACTGAAGAGGCTCTGAGAAACCTGAAGTTTGAACCGATTCCACACCCTCCTTATTCCCCCGATCTTGCGCCTTGCGATTTTTATTTTTTTCCTCTACTCAAGAGAGACCTCAAGGGTAATCATTACACCTCGGACAATGAGGTGGAGGCAGCTGTCAAGTCCTGGATTCGAGAAAAGTCGGAAGAATTTTTCAGTGACAGAATGAAAAAACTTGTTACACGTTGGGAGAAATGTGTTAGCCTTAACGATGACTATGTTGAAAAATAAATATATGCTTTTGAAACTTAAGAATTGTACTTTAATGTACTTTTTGCCCGATCATGCTGTTTGTTTTTGTCCGCGCTCTACAAGCATGTGTGCATTACTTTTCAGCCTACCCACGTATTTAAGAGGAGACACAACATTGTTTACAGAACTCCGTTAGGTGAGAGCAGGAGTGTTGACACAGAAACTGTAGAAGACTGGAAATATTACAAAATATTGCAAGAAATTGAAATGTCCATGATATTATGTATCATTTATATATTTCTCAACCTAAAAATCTAGCAAAACCCTCACTTTTTGAGGATATTTTTGCCATGGTAGTACAAAATCTGAACAGCGTGTTACTGTTCCACACATGCAATGGTTATGGTAATGATAAACAACTGTCTCTTGTAATTAGAAGGTATAGAAGTCCACATAATGGTAAAGTTGTTCCTATGCTTAACTAATTAAGCGCTACACCATGAAGACATATGAAGGAGTGACTGTATAGATTCATATTTTCTTGACCCCGGCACTAGTTGGAGGTGAGTGGTCAGCTTCACACCCTGGTCACTTTACCCCCAAGGAAAGAGTCCCTGATACCCATTGGATTGGAGGCTGGGGGGGCCCCAGAGTCGGTTTGGAGGATGTGGGGAAGAGAAAATTCTTGACCCTACTGGGATTCCAACTCTGACCCATTGATGGTTCAGCCCATAGCCTGTCACTATACTGACTGCGCCATTCCAGATCCATAGAAATTGAGAAGAATTCCAAATTCTTGGATAAGCACCAAAAAGTTTTAAGATTACATCTCACAGCTAGATAGAAAACTGGGTGCTCACATTGCACAATCTTCTTTTACATTGGTGTGTAGCCCACCTGAAGAACATATTTTTTAGCAGCATCAAAGTTATATTTTCCAAGCCAACTACAGCCTTTATATTTGAGAATCATCTGTGCAATCAGGTGCCATTATAGAAAGCAGTTGATTCGGAAGACTGTAGGCATGATAGACAGGGACTGCACCAAGAATCTGCACAGATTGAGCTGGATGTACTGTGTGCACTGCAGTTCATAGCAGGAGCCTTGAGATTGATTACACCCATCACAATCAAGTTACTTTGTGAAATGTAGTTTTTCTCAAATGACCATATCAGCAGCGATGATGACAGTGCAGTGAAACTCAATATGAAGATGAAGAGAATGATTGGCACAGTTTTTACAGCCTCTTCGAGTGCAGTCTGAGGACTATGCAACATGTGACAGTGCTCCAGAGTGTCAGTCAGATGTCAGATCAACATTTGACTAGGCCAGATGCAGAACAGTAAATTGTGGAACATAGAGCAACATTCTTGGTTCTGCTGAAAGGACTGGAAGCAGCCAGAAAGTATGTGTGTCAATTTGGTACCAAGAACTGTATTATTGTAATGCACAGCACAGTTTAAAATGAGCTGTGCAGACTGTGAGAACTCATGAAAAAAGGAAACAGATGCTTCTTTTGGGTTGGTTAATGAAATGGTGTAAGTATGTACCATATTTGAAGAAAGTCGTCTTCTGGGTTTAGGCACCGTGTATTCTTCGTTTTGGCCGACGTTTCGGAGGAACGTAGCGCCTCCATCTTCAGAGCAGTTGAATGGCTTGGAATGCGGAGAGCAGTAGCTGTGGTGATAGGATGTGAAAGGTACTCCTTATACAGTCAACTCTCGATTATCCGGGCTAATGGTGGGGAT